AAGGTTATTAAGTAGTATCTATATAAGGAAAATTTTTTTAAAAAAAATTCTTTTAAAAACTGTGAAAAAGTGTTATATTACAAATTAATAGATAAGTAAATTTTTGTTAAATTATTAATTTTTTTGTATTTGATAATAAATTAATATAAAAAAATTTGTAAAAAGGTTATTAAGTAGTATCTATATAAGGAAAAAATTTTTAAAAAAAATTCTTTTAAAAACTGTGAAAAAAAATTATATTAAAAAATAAATTAAAAATATTATTTTTTATTATTTTTAAGCAAAAACCCTTCTTAAGCCCTCAAACTTACTCCAAAATAACATTTAAGCCTCTAAACTAAAAATGAAGTAGATAAACCTTTCAACTCTACAAATGATGCAAAGAAGCCTTTCTCACAAACAGGTCAAACGGTGAGATTCATGGTGGACTAACTCAATTTCTTTTTTGCACTTTCACTAATCCACATAGACATATATATGTTGATGTGGCACATTCTATGTACACATATATGTTGAGGTGGATAAAAAAAGAAGACGAAGAAGAAGCTAAATTCATGTGCAATGTGAAAAAAGAAAATAAAAAAAATTCTCTATTTAAGCCCTGCTTAGGGCTTCGGCCTCATTTGTGCCCCTCTTCTACAAAAATCCTCCACTTCTTTTGTTAGAAATGAAATTAATGTAGGGCTTTTGCCCTATGGATAGTGTGGCCAGGCTTTGTTCTAGGGTATGATGTTGGTGGCCAGATTCCAAGCCAACTGCAAACTCTATTGATGTGTTCATCTAGTGTGAAGGTGGAGACAGAGGAGAAAGTGGAGGTGGAGGCAGAGCTGGAGGTAGAGACAAAGGTGGAGCTGGAGGTAGAGACAAAGGTGGAGCTGGAGGCGGAGACAAAGGTGGAGCTAAAGCTGGAAGTGGAGATCAAGATCAAAGGTTATGAGAGGTGACTTCAGGGGACCGTGTCGCCCTTGTTTTAAGTTGGTATTTTCTTGCTTTACATGGACTGAAGCAAAGGCAGGGATGATATGTTAGTTTCCATGGATGTTGGTGTGTTAGTTTCCTTAAATTTGATATGTTAAATGGTGTTGATTTTATTTTCTTTTCTTTTTTCCAGATTTATCATTATTGATATTTTCCTACTCTGTTTTTTCTTTTTCAACAAAAGGGCAAATATAATGTCTTTGACTAGAATGATGGATAAATAGTTGGAAAAGCACATGATGTAATTTGGAATTTACAATTGAAAGTTGAGTGTTTGAATAAGGAAGTGGGGGAAATTGAAAGAGATAAATTTACTAATGTTGAGAAAGTTATTGAGAAACAGAGTTAAATTCATTGATGTTGAGAAAGCTATTGAGAAGCTAATGGATTGTGTAAGGTTTGAAGGGAAGAATCAAGTGGGAAAGTTGCAAATGAATTTCTCAATTGTGCTTGTGCTTGTTAATTTAGAATTTAGTTTATAGAATTTGGTAGAGTTATATTATGGATGTTAGAAAATGTCATGAATTTCAAACTCTGGATTCTTTTTCTTGTTTTGCTATGTATGGATCATGAACGATGTATGTAATAGTTTTAGCTTTTGACAATGAAAAGCAAATGTAATTATTTTACAATTAAACTCCATGTTCTGGTCTTTTTATTTTTGGTTCAAACTCTAGATTTTTTGTCTTGTTTTTATTTGAGAAAAATGCATCTAGATTTTGTTCTCTTCTTATGTATGCATATACAAATGTATCCAATTTCCTGTCTTCCTTTTTATTTGAGCCATCTAGGTTATGTTCTCTTTTTATATATATACATATACAAATATATTCAAGTTCTTGTCTTTTTTCTTTTTTTTTTTTATTTGAGTGAGATCTGTCCAGGTCCCTACACAAGCAACCTAAAAATTCCTCAAAAATTAAATGAACACTTTTTCTTCACAGCACTTACTTCAACATGAATTACCATTTAAATAAAAAACCTATAATCATCAACAACTTATCCAGCATTAATAGACCACTTTTAATTTCCCATCAACCAACTACCTAAATAACATGTAGTCATCAGGATGTGTCCACATATAAAAACAAGTTTATCCACATCAAGATACTAAAATTTCAAACATAGATAAGTTTCATAAAAGACAAAAGGCATATTTATCTATCTTAAAACCTAGCCCAATAGTTGTCTTCATTGTTAAGACTCATGTCATCTCCAAATAGGGGCACAACAAATATGCTTCCTTAGTCCAATGATGCAGCATCACAGTTGGTTTGTTGAGCATTGCTTCTTGGTTGAGAAGGCATAACAAATAAGTTTCTTTGGTCCAAAGATGCAGCAGAATTGTTGGTTTGTTGAGCATTGCTTATTTGTTGATAGAAAGCTGGCATGGTTGTTGCAGTAATGCCTTCTCTAATGGTATACTCAGAATGTCACTCAGCCTATAAACAATAAATTTTGATTCAACCAATGAAGTCTAATCCAACCAATAAAGTCTAATCCAACCAATAAAGTCTAGTACTTAAATATAATTTTTTAAGTAAATAAACTAGTATCTTACTTACATTCCATGTCATTGCACCCGTGTACTCATTCACTTTAATGCCTATGTCTAATTGCTTTCCTTTCTTGACTTTTTGTGTTCTATTGATAGTTACCTTTGCTTTTCCCTTTTCTTTTACAATAGAAGGTTGATGTGCTAAAGAAGATGTAGGACCACAGGAAACAACTTGCAAAAACACACAATTTAATATTACCCATCAGATTCAATATAACTACAATTTAAAGGGCTTGTCATTCAAAATGCAACTTACAGTTGAATTAGTAACTAATGTCTATGAAGGATTGATTGATGTTGGAACCTCTGCTATGTTTCTTGAAGCTTTAACCTGATTTACTTATCTAATTAAATGATAGTTATAAATGAATTTGACTTCATATATTTAAAAGTACTTAGAGTTTTAGCCTTCCTATGATATGCAGTAGAAGGCCTTCTCTTTTTACCATGAGATGATGATCACTAGATGTGTTGGTCTGTTTCCAAATAAAATGGAATCGATTGTTGTTCACATGAAACCATACCTCATTAGTTAAAAGGACATCTATTAAAACCATACCTCATTTTTTGAAAGAAATGGACATCTTGCCCTATTGTGTCCCTTTTGTTTGCAGTGGGAACATGTCATTATCCTTCCTTTCCTTAAGATTTTAACTACCTTGGATATTTTCTTAGGCTCATCTTTTGACTTCCTTTTATTTTTCTCAAGTCTCCCTAGTCTCTTTCTAATTGCTGGATGGTTAACAGGTTCTCCATGAAATTTCATCCAAGACTTGTCATCACACATTGCCTTAAGAGGGAATCCATATGACAACGCATACTTTTCCCTTTTGTACCATTCAGCTACATAGTCCTTAGGAACTAAATTTTCATGATACATGCAACATATGGCATGTGGGCATGGAATTCCATTCATCTGCCAAGCTCTTCAAGTGCATGTCCTTCTTTAAAGATCAACAGCATGTCTATCATTTTTATGTTTAACTTTGAAACCAGTTGTTCCATCCCAAAGCAACTTGCATTGCGATGACTCATTTTTATTTTCTTCTAATTTATCCCTAGCCCTTGGGGCAATGTCTCCATTCCAGCCTCTCATGGATTCTCTCTTGTTAGCAATCCTTTCCATGACTTGCTCCCTCAAAGTATCAGCTAAACTAATAATAGCCTTATACCTTGCATCCATAATCCAAAAATTAAAAGACTCACACATGTTGTTGTCTACAACATCACAATAAGCATCTTCAATGAAAAAATGCCTTGCACCAATACTCAGGAGGCATCCTTTGCAAATCTCTCTAGGCTTTCTCATTTAATTTCTTAAGCTCATTTATATTATGATCAAATTCCACTGGCCAACTAGATCTTGTAATGATCCAGAATTTCTTTTTGTATTTTTCTCCCCTATAATCCTTTGCCCAATTAGCATATATATGCCTAGCATAGTACCTATGCTTTGCCCTTGGAAACACCTCATCCCTTGCAGATAAAATGCCCTACAAATAAATTAAAAATAAAGGCATTACATGTCCCATAGACAAAGGCATTAACAGAAAACCAAATAAAATAATGCAATCCAAAATAAATATATAAGTTTAACAAGGAATAAAATAATCTATAAATTAAAGTCATTAACACCCACACAAGAAAAAAAAATGCACGTTTAGAATAATTTGTATAAGTGAAAGGCACTAATTGAAATAACTAAAGGAAAAACATGTAAAATTACATGGATGATAGTCAAATAGCAAGTCAAAAAGGAAGCTAGCATATAAAAACAAAATAAAAAAAGAGTTCTAAAAGGAATAAAATTTTTTTTTACCCTATGCATATCACTTATAAAAGTCATTTATGTTCCATCTCCACACTCAAGGTCAATATTCAACGATTTCATGAACCATTTCCAATTGTCCTTATCTTCAATATCTACAATTGCCCATGCCACTAAAAACATTTGATTATTCTCATCTCTCCCAATAATTGACAACAAAATGCATTTGCAAACCATTTTCAAGAAACTGCCATCTAAACTAATAATGCGCCTACAACTAGCTTTCCAACCCCCCTTGCATCCATCAAAGCAAAAGTACATCCTTTCCAACTGGTAGGGTGTTGCTACAGCAGAATTTTCTATTCCAATAATACAATTTGACCCGAGATTGGTAGCTAGCATATGCTCCCCATAACCTTTAAAATACTTGTATTGCTCAATGTAACTACCCTCTCACTCATTCTTAATTATCCTTTTAGCCTTTTGACATTATATTTTGAAACTTCAACATTCAATTTTGCCTTAACATGATCAAGAAGCTGCCTACTGGTTATTCTAGGGGAGTTGGTAACTATTGTCCACAAGGCATCAACCAAGAATAGCTCAGTCACCATTTTGTTCCTATTTGTTTTAAAGCATGAATGAGTTCCATAATATGTCTTCACCTTGAAAGTATCATCAGAATGATCAAAACTTGCATAAATTTCCCAAGAACACCCATGTTTAATATCACATGCAATTCTTTGCCTCCTTGGCTCATTCTTTTTCTAATGAAGTTTGCATCCTTTTTTTATTGAGTATTTGACAATGGCTTCCTTAAATTGAACTGCATTCTCAAATGCCATTCCTACCTCAAAGTGTGGACAGCCACACTTGGGATCATAATGCAAGGAACTACTCACCCTTTTGAATGCATTATCCTTCACATTCAGGTCTTCTATGGAACTATCACTGTAGTAGCTTCCAACATCATCACTATCAATATAAGTACTACTGCTATCGTACTTTATATCACTATATTCAATGTTTGAGTTTTCCACTAGTCGAGAGACTTCAAAATCAGTGATAGGTTTTTTAATTATAATTCATTTTGAGCTTGATGATGCCATAACACCTCCATTCCTTTGACTTTTCCATTGCTAGCATGCCTTAGTCACCTTTTCTTTCCCTTTATCATTTGTTTTCCTACCATGGCTTAAAATATTAGTGCTATCCATGTCACCCATCAAATTTGTTACTTTATTATTCCCAACTAATAACTCATTATCATTAGCATCACTTCCCAATGCCTTTGGATGTAACAGCAACTTCTTCATCAACATTAAGTTGACCATGTTCAACATAAACATGACATATAGTCAATTGTATTAAAATCTTAGCAACCTCAATCACTTCAACAACACCACAATAGGATGCAACCCATGTACCATAGACAAATGTGGAACTTTGTAATATAATCCCTTGAATGAGCTAAAACTCAACTTTGTAACCTTATCCTTAATATCCCAATAACACGGCTTATCCACATCATAGACTGGTAAATCATAGGTTTCCCCCTCAGTGTAACATGACTTGTGAGCACCAAATTGACCATCATAATGTATGCATATCGTAAAAGGTGCATCTTCACCTATAGGTTTGCTGCTCAAAATTTTAGAAACAAAACAAATTATTTGACAATAATATTAAGTAATTGAGTAATTAAGGATGTTAAGTATGTATGTTAAGTAACAATTGGTCTATGAATCTATTTCCACAATTCAAAGATTACACTTCGTTTACAAAAACCCTAATGGCATTCAAGTAACTAGTGATTTTAATATACCTACTAAACCCTAAATTACAATTTTTTTATCTATTTATTGTAGATTGGTAAATAATAAAACCAAAGGAAGGAAAACACCATAAGCCCCATGTGTTTTACACATCAAATCACAGTAAATGAATTTACCTATAAGATGAAATCAAACTCGAGATTGTTGAGATTCAAGATTCTTTAGTGCTTGTCTTCCACTTGTGGTCCTTTTTATGTCTAGTAGAAGTAGACTTTCTTTTGTAAACTTTTAAACTATAGCTTTTAATAGCCTTTCGATTTCTTTATCTTTTTTTCTTTTTATTTATTTATATTTTTTAGGATGTTGGTGGGACCTTTACCACCCAAAAATCCCTTTATATATGAATGGCGCCATGTCGACATATATTTGTCTATGTGGATTAGTGGAAGGGCAAAACAGAAATGGAGTTGGTCCATAGTGAATCTCATCGTTTGGCCCATTTGTTAGAAGGGCTTATTTGCATCATCTGTAGAATTGGAGGGCTTATATGCTTTATTTTTAGTTTAAGGCTTAAATGCTATTTTGAGGTAAGTTTAGGGGCTTAAAAAAAATTTTACCTTATTTTTATTATAAAAACTTGAAAAAATTTTAAGAAAAAAGTGACTCGGTAACCGAGCCCCTAAAAGGCACAATCCAATCATGGGTCGGACAGGATTCATCTTGCTCAAAACTCAATGGACACGCTTCTCTATCCATTTAATGCACATTTTATTTTTCTCCTTAAAAAAATTTAAAATTTTATATACCTTTATATATTTAAAATTTTATTAACCTTACTAGGTTGAATAGGAGGAAATTAATTTTTTTTAAATAAAATTTTAATTTTAAATATTATAAATGAAAAAATAAGTATTTATAGAGTTTTATTTCTTATAAGGTTCGACACAATTTAATTTTAGATTAATTAGGATTTAGTAACTTTCAAATACCAAAAAATTAATATAAAAAACAATGCATATAAAAAATATATTAATTTAGAATGTGATATTTTCAAATTACAAAATATCATCATTGTTTAAATAACAAAGGCACATACATTTATTTTGAATAATAATAAATGAAATTAAAATTTAAAATCAAATTTTAAAATTAATAACATGATATAAGTCATATCATTTAAATTATTAAAAAATAAACTATATATTAATTAATGATTGACATTTTTTTTAACTCATGATATTATATGTCAATTAATTTAATAACGTGACATAAACTATGCCATTGGTTCCAAATTTTTGTCCTCCTTATTATTACTCATCTATTTTCTATATATATATATAAAAACATCTATTTTATAACAAATTTTCTTCTTTTTTTTTTGGTAGAAACAAATTTTATAATATGTACATTTATATAAATTGTTAAGCATAGTATTAAGTTGGTTAAATGCCAAAACTTAGTCTCTAAATTTTTTATTTTAAACAATTCTTTTAGTTTTTAAACTTTTTTTTTTTAGTCAACTATGAAACATTCATATTTTTAGTCTTTTTGTCAATTTTGTTCGTTAAGTTTGTATAGTGAGTATTTTTTTGGTTTTTGAACTTTTATCTTATGTATATTTTTATCCATAAATTAATATTCGTTTCACATTTTTAGTTTTTAAAATTTTTTTTATAAGCATTCAAGTTACTAAATAAAATTTACAAAAAAAATAACAAGTGGATAGACTTAAGAGATAAATTGATGAAAAGATAAAAAAGCACTCTTTTCATTTATTTTTAGTAAACTTAATTTGATTTTTTTGACTTTTTAAATATAAATTTTATATAAAAATTTAATAACTTATATGAATAA